AAGTCTGGAACGGATTAATTCATTTTGCATGACATTCTATGAGAAAGCATGCCTTGGTTTTGGAACGCTTTGGTTTTGGAACGGACTTCCGGAAGGGATTAAGTCTGAGAACCAAGGTACAACCAAGGTATACAGCCTAAGAGAGATGTCCTCCTTGCTGGATACAGACCAGCTTTTGCCTTCCCCATCTTTGCAGGGGAGCTGTTTCTAATATGCCCATTTTAACGAGCGATCTCTCCTCCAGCGATTACTCAACCTTTGACGGCTGGCGGGCTGGAAGTGTGAGCTGACTGTGCTGCATTATCAGTATTGCACTTGAGCCGACGCTGAGCGGGGCGAAAGGTTTCTATATGAGGTGCGTGGTCTGAGACAGCTCATCTTCACATGCTTCTGATACCGGAGCCTGGTTCAGTCACATGCTGGGCATGAGTAGTGCCAGCCACGAGGAAGGACTGCTCAAAATGCACCCGGTAGCCTCAGCCCTAGAGGAGGGTCACCCATCCTCCAGCTGTTTGGCATCAATCTGAAAGTTGCCTATGCTCTGAACAGTGCTTTGGCATCCCATAATTTTTTAAAGGGATGTGCATGCGTGCATCTCCCTCTATGAACCTGCCTGGGTGCTAAGATCATTGAGTGAGCAACTTCTCACAGTCTCTCCAATATCGGAGGCACAGATGGTGGCGATGTGAGAGACAGGGCCTTTTCTTTGGTGGCTCCCAGGTTGTGGGATTGGCTCCCTCCTTGTTATCCTTCTGCTGACAGGCTGAGATCTTCCTCTGGAAACTAAGGTGCTGACAGTGCTGACCGCCGGGCTGCTGCCAAAGCACATTATATTTTACTTGCTGGTTCTAAAAACCTTGCAATGCATTTTCAATCGTTGCTTTTATCATTCTATATTTTGCATTGATGTTCTTTCATGCAGGCATCGTTTTATATGTACGCAACCATGCAGCAATTCAAGCCATGCTCAGGGCTGCTTACGACCTGGGAAAAATCCCTAAGTGCCACATAACAAAAGTAGCCAAACACAATAAATGAAACATTTAAAAAATGCAGAACCGAAACAGTTTCCACATTTATCACAGTATCTAAAATGAAGATGGAAAATAGTGGAGAAGGCGGACAGCAAGGTCTTCCAGGACTCCCAACAGAGATGTTATGCCACCTTTGCAGAGTTAAAACTGTGTTCAAGGTGGCTTACAACATGAAAACAAATACCGAGGTACCTTGGCTGTCAAACTTAATCCGTTCCGGGAGTTGGTTCGACTCCCAGAATGGTTCGAAAACCAAGGCATGGCTTCCGATTGGCTACATGGGCTTCCTGCACTCAAACGGAAGCTGTGGAAGCTGTGTTGGACATTTGGCTTCCAAAAAACGTTCGCAAACCAGAACACTCACTTCCGGGTTTGCAGCATTCGGGAGCCAAAACGTCCGAGTACCAAGGCATTCCACAACCAAGGTACGACTGTACATATAACAGAATAATAATAATAATAATAATAATAATAATAATAATAATAATAATTTATTATTGATACCCCACCCATCTGGCTGGGCCTCCCCAGCCACTCTGGGCAGCTTCCAACAAAATATTAAAATACAATAGTCCATCAAACATTAAAAGCTTCCCTAAACAGGGCTGCCTTCAAATGCCTTCTAAAAGTCTGGTAGTTGTTTTTCTCTTTGACATCTGGTGGGAGGGAGTTCCACAGGGCGGGTGCCACTACCGAGAAGGCCCTCTGCCTGGTTCCCTGTAACCTCACTTCTCGCAAGGAGGAAACCACCAGAAGGCCCTCGGAGCTGGACCTCAGTGTCTGGGCAGAACAATGGGGGTGGAGATGCTCCTTCAGGCATACTGGACCGAGGCCGTTTAGGGTGTGCCACCTTGAATCACAACTTGGAGGAAAGGAAGGATATGAATACCTGAAATAGAAAAACAAAGAGCCCTCCACAAAAGACCCAGATTGTTGAGTGAGCTACAACAATGTGATGCTGAGGAGTAATTGGGTGATGGCTTAGTTGTAAATTCATTATGTTTTCTCACCCTAAATAGCATGGGGAGCTAAGGGGGCATCTCTTGAAAAGCTTGTCTTGCCTATATCCATCCCCAAGGAGCCACAAGGCACCTCATTCCTTGCAAAGTGAATCTTGGCTGCGTTCGCCGTTGAGGAACGAACATGTGTCCACTTTCGAGACTGTAATTGTTAAATAAGCAGAAGCGGTTGTATTTAGAGTGAAACCACTGGGAACAAAGGGTCCCTCTTGAGTCTCTCTTGTTGGGGAGGCGGCCTGGCCATTGCTGGCAAGTGCTTCTCTTTTTCATGTGGCGCCTTTTAAGGGAGGCTTCCTGGAGGTGTTTTTTTTTTGCCGTTACTCGAGGATTTGCTCGCTCGCAGAAGAAAAGAGCAAGCCATCTGTTTGAGCAGGAGATGGAATAACGAGACAGATCTGTAGCTAAATAAGTTCACATCTGCTGGGAGGAACCATCAAAAGACAACTGAAGGTTCTAATGAGAGCCACATGCGGATGAAACCCAAGAAATATTGAGGGAGATCGGCTGCCAAGAATTGTGTGTGTGCTTGTTTGTGTGTCTCTGTGTGTGATCTGGGCCAGCTTGCTTTTGTTCCTCCTCCTCCTCCTCCTCCTCCTCCTCTTCTTCTTCTTCTTCTTCTTCTTCTTCAGCTTTTCCTTTTCAAGTCACGCAGAAGCAGAGAGAGGGCGAGATCTAGGTGACAAGACGCCATCGCTGCTCTCGAATCGCAGCCTTATATCAGCAGTTTGGGGTCATAGCAGAGAAGTTTGCTGATGTGGGGCAGCAGACAAAAGCAAATGGGGGAGCCCTTCCCCACGAGACTGTAAGAAGAGGTTGCTGGATCAGGCCATTGGCCCATCTAGTCCAGCATCCTGTTCTCACAGGGGCCAACCAGATGCCTCAAAGAGAAAAATTATCCCCCATCACAACCGAAAATGTTCTGCTGTTCTTTTGCAACATTGCTCCTTCCTTGGGAGCACAGAACTTGCAATTTCAGTTCTGAAAATGTATATATTCACAAATTTTAAAAAAGTGAAGAGGGGAAACTTTTCTCTCCCTCATTGCACTAAAACTCATGGGCATCCAAAGTAGGAACATTCGCTTTCTAATGTTGGAACATTCGCTTTCTAATGTTGTACACCACCCTGAGATCTTTTGATAAAGGGTGGTACAGTGGAGCCTCTGGTTGCGAATGGGATCTGTTCTAACATGAAAAGAGCGCAACCCGCAGTGGCGTGTCTGCGCATGCGCGGGTTGCGATTCGTCGCTTCTGTGCATGTGTGTGATGTCATTTTGCGCTTCTGCGCATGCGCGAGGGGCAAAACCCAGAAGTAACCCTTTCCAGTACTTCCGGTCGCTGCAGGATGTAACCTGAAAGAACGTAACATGAAGCGGACGTAACATATGACTGTATAGAAATTGAAATAATACTAATGCTAATAACAGGAAGGATTCACGCAGCATGTAGTTAAACTAGGGAACTGGCTTCTGCAGGAGGCAAAGGTTGTCCCCAACTTGGATGAAGGAGAATTAGCTAAGTTTGTGGAAGAGGAGAATCCACAGCCAGAAGTAGCAATGCTTCCGAATATCAGTTGCTGGAAACTGCAAACGGTGCCCTGGTGCTTGATTCCTGCTTGCAGGTCTCCCAGAAAAGGCTTCTGGCTGGCCACTGTGAGAACAGGATCATAGCTGTCAACTTTTCCCTTTTCTTGTGAGGAATCCTATCCGGAATAAGGGAATTTCCCTTAAAAAAAGGGAACAGTTGACACGGAACCAAGAGAATTAAAGCAAACTTAGATAGCTCAATTGGTTGGAGCGTGGTGCTGATAACGGCAAGGTTGCATGTTTGACAGCTGCATATTCCTGCATTGCGTGGAGCTGAACTCTGTGATTCAGCAGACCCAGTTAGGAACCTGGAGTTTATCAGATACTACTGAAATTTGGGACTGCAGAATGGGATGCGGGTGGCGCTGTGGTCTAAACCACTGAGCCTCTTGGGCTTGCCAATCAGAAGATCGGCAGTTTGAATCCCTGCGATGGGATGAGCTCCCTTGCTCTGTCCCAGCTCCTGCCAACCTAGCGTGCCAAAAAGTGCAAGTAGATAAATAGGTACCACTCTGGCGGGAAGGTAAATGGCTTTTCTGTGCGCTGCTCTGGTTTCGGTGTTCCCTTGCATCAGAAGTGGCTTAGTCCTGCTGGCCACATGACCTGGAAAAACTGTCTGCGGACAAACGCTGGCTCCCTCGGCCTGTAAAGCGAGATGAATGCTGCAACCCCAGAGTTGTTTGCAACTGGACATAACTGTCAGGGGTCCTTTACCTTTAACTTTTTACTGCAATAGAACAGAGCTCAACTTAACGTGGTTGTTTTGAGTCTGCCACTTAAGAAGAAGGCCTACCCAGAGGAAAATCAGAACAAAGCTTAGAGAGGAGCTCAGATGCAGCACACAGAGAGTCATAAAACATCGAAACATCTCCAAGCATCCTTCTACGTGCACCAAGAAAGGTTACAGGTCGTGAGCAGCAAAACAAGTAGCATACTGCTAACTTCGCCCCCATAATTACCTTGGGGTGCCAGACCATTTGGGTCTCAAATGTGCTGCATTATCACTGTTTCCTTAGCGACCAGGCCGTCAACAGAGTTGTGTTGTCATTCCAGTCCCTATCTTTTCCTTGGAACCTCTCAAGGAGATGCCGGATTTCACCCTGGTGCTAACTCAAAACAGACCTAGCAAAACATCCCGAGAGACTATTTCTGCCACTTTCGGGGTCAGATAGGGAAGGAATGAAGCTTAGGAGTCCTAAAATGCAGGCACACAAAAACAAGCCTAAGACATTCTAGCCAGAGGTTTGATACACTTAATACTGGGACATTTCTGAAATCAACAAAATTCATACTCTGGGTCTCAAATTCTTGCATCACATGGAATCCACAAGCCAACGGTCTTCTTGCTTTTCTCTTTCCCCAGTACTAAGTGATGTCTCACCCATCATGGCTGCCCCCCAAGAACCCCAGCGAGCCCGTGGGCCATGTGACCGCGAGGATGGAGACCACCCATTCTTTTGGGACCCCCAGCATCTCCATATCCACTCAGCAGACCCCAAAGAAGTTTGCTCCGGTCGTGGCCCCCAAACCGAAGTACAATCCCTACCGAGCGGCTGAAGGGGAAGGTAAGAATTGTTGATTGCCGTAGTTCGTAGCAAGCCTCCATTAATCAAACAACAATAATGTACGATAAGCCTGTGAAACAGTAATAAATACAGTGGTTTGGTTCCCAAACTCAACCTGTTCTGGAAGTCCATTTGACTTCCAAAATGTTTGCAAACCAAGTCGCGGCTTCCGATTGGCTGCAGGGGTGTCCTGCATCCAATCGGAAGTCGCGCCGGACATTTGGCTTCTAAAAAAAGTTCACATACCAGAACACTTACTTCCGGATTTGCAACATTCAGAAGCCGATTTGTTTGGGAGGCAAGCCGTTCGGTAACCAAGGTACCACTGTAATGGAGAGAGAAGGGGAGTCAATGTCGATAGAAGGAAGGAAGGAAAGTGGCAATTGCGGTATATGGTTCCTTTTTATTGCGGCATTTTTATCCTTTTGTTATTTCAGTTTTTTAAACTTCCCTGCAAGGGAACCTGTTGATGGGGAGGTAAAAACTGAATCAAATGTACACATAAATAAAATAAGCTGCAGCTCCTCACAAAGGTGATTCAAATCTTGTGTCCAGTTCCAGATTTGCATGTTCTATTCTGTTTCTTGTGGAAGTGACACAGAGTTGTGCTTGTTGTTGTTTAATCATTTAGCCGTATCCAACTCTTTGTGACCCCATGGACCAGAGCGGACCAGGCACTCCTGTCTTCCTCTGCCTCCCGCAGTTTGGTCAAACTCATGCTGGTAGCTTCGAGAACACTGTCCCACCATCTCGTCCTCTGTCGTCCCCTTCTCCTTGTGCCCTCCATCTTTCCCAACATCAGGGTCTTTTCCAGGGAGTCTTCTCTTCTCATGAGGTGGCCAAAGTCTTGGAGCCTCAGCTTCAGGATCTGTCCTTCCAGTGAGCACTCAGGGCTGATTTCCTTCAGAATGGAGAGGTTTAATCTTCTTGCAGTCCATGGGACTCTCCAGAGTCTCCTCCAGCACCAGAATTCAAAAGCATCAATTCTTCGGCGATCAGCCTTCTTTATGGTCCAGCTCTCACTTCCATACATCACTACTGGGGAAACCATGGCTTTAACTATACGGACCTTTGTTGGCAAGGGGATGTCTCTGCTTATGAAGATGCTGTCCAGGTTTGTCATTGCTTTTCTCCCAAGAAGCAGGCATCTTTTAATTTCGTGACCGCTGTGCAGAGCACCCTTAAGCCCATCTCGCCTCTCCTTTGTGGCCTTCTGAGATTCCACAAGGGTCTGCCTACACCTTTTCCAAATATTTTCTTTTCTAGCCTTTTTCATAAGGGCTAGAAAACTGAAAGAGGGAATGGAATAATAGAATCATGGAACTGCAGACTTGAATGGGACCCCAAGGGCCATCTAACCCAAACCCCCACAATGGAAAAGTGAAGAAGCGCCAGTTCTATACTTGAACGATATTAAGAGAGCCTTTTTTTTGGGGGGGGGATATTTTTGGCTGGTGGGGTCAACCAACCATCTGGCATCCGACCCACCAGCCCACCTGTCGAAATTGGCTTGCAGAGGTTGGTGTGGGTGCCGACAGTGACCAAGTAGGATTTGGGGGGCTTCATCCTGCTTCCTGCTTCTCATCCTGTCCCACACCAGCTGAGTTTCTCCCTGCCCCACGCCCGACACCACGTCGGAGATCAGTTGTGGGGCAGGTGGGTGTGTTTAGTGGGGAAACGACCTCTTGGGAGGGGGCAAATGTAGGGGGCTGGTGGGGCACGGGGTCCCCACCACCCTGGGATGGAATTGAGAGTGCCCAGATGGAAAGAAGGCGTCTTGGCTTGTGGGGCGAGCTCCCAGGCGCACCTGCGGGCCTGAGATTCTGCCCCTTTCTTGTAAGCCGCTCACTATCTCTGCGATGTTGGACGGGATTTCCCTTCTCCTTCCAGAAGCATAATTAGCTCAAGAATAGAACTGCTATTTCTTACGCGGCTCTGTCGGTTAGTTACTCCGATAGAAGCCATCTGGATTCTTCTTACAAACTTGTATCCAAAGAAACGGAGGATTTCTCTCCCCACCCCCCTCTGCATACGATGTCAGTCTCTGTGAGCTTTCAGAGCCTTTTCTTTCTTTTGTGCTAGGCTGCACCCGAATATTTTTTTTGGGGGGGGGACACAAATTCCGTGCATTCCTCATTCCTCTTGCTCCTTTGTGCTTTTCTGCCCCCCCCCCCCAGGGTAAAACACTGCTTGTCCTGTGCTGGGCGGCTGTGATGCTTCTGTCGGCTTTCAGCTGCCCTTTAGAAACTGCTGTCATAGAATTGCAGGGCTGGAAGGGACCTCAGCGGTCATCTAGTCCAACCCCCTGCAATGGAGGAATCCCGGCTAAAGAATTCATGACAGGGAGCCATCCAACCTCTGCTTCAACGTCTCCAAGGAAGGGGAGACCACAAGTTCTCAAGAAAGTCTGTTCCACTGTCAAACGACTCTTACCCTCCTGATGCTTAGTCAAATCTCCTTTCTCGTAACGTGAAGCCATGGGTTCGAGTCCTACCCTCCGGAGCAGGAGAAAACAAGCTTGCTCCATCTTCCGTGTGACAACCGCTCAGATATTTGAAGATGCCTATTCTATCCCCTCCCAGTCTCCTCTTCTCCAGGCTAAACATACCCAGCTCCTTCAACCATTCCTCATAAGGTTTGCTTTCCAGACCCATGGTCATCTTTGTCGCCTTCCTCTGCGCATGTCCAGCGTCATGGGATTTCACCAAATACTTCTCACACACCTTAGGCTGGGGGATTAGTTGTGGGTTGTTGTTTTTCTGGCAGGGAGTTATTTTTGCTGTTGCTGTTGCTGTTTTGTGTCTCTATTTTAGATCTTGTGATTTATGCAGAAATGGTTCAGTTCGTTTGTGGGTTTTGAAATATTGTTAATGAGTACTTTTGTTACGTTGCAGTTATGCATTTTTTTCATGTTGTAAGTCGCCTTGTGCAGGGCTTGAACTGCGGGAAGTCGTTGAACAAATAAAATTGTGCATGTGTGAATGCATAAGAACTAGAAACTTAAAAAGATGGAAGACTGGCAGTCAAAAGTTCCCAAACTTGTGTCTGACAGGGATTTATATGTTGATGCTCACTTGTACATATTGTCTGCAATTTGGGCGAATTAATTTTCCTCGGATCAGCACTCCAAGGTGAATGTTGAATTTACATCTGGGACTCTACGTTGTTCTGGGACAAAAAACCGAAATGCTGCAAACACGATTATTTTTCTTTTAATGAACTTGCAAGATTTTAGAATCATGTTTTCCTTTTGGAACATAAAAACGGGCATGTTTCTGATTGGCTTTGTACATCCTTGTGCAAATTAATTGAAACAATGTCGTTTATTGTACAAAACCCACATATACATGTACAAAACCCACATATACGTACATTAGTAATGGATATGACCTCCGCTATTTTTAAGCAGCATTTGAACACGGTTTGGCATGGAGTCTACTAGTTTTGAACAGTCACTGTTGATTTTCGGATCCCTGTACCACACTTGAATCAGCGCCTGAATGAGCTTCTCCAGAGTCGTACAGTTTACAGCACGGAGGCGACTTCTGCATACAGCCCACCAATTCTCAATGGTATTTATATCCGGGGAATTCCCTGGCCAGTCAAGTACCTGTATTTGCTGCTCTGTCATGAATTTCTTCACCACTTCCGATGGGCTAGGTCCTGCTGCAATATCCCAGTACCGTCAGATACCTCTTTTCCAGCTCTGGAATAACTCTCTTTCGTAGAACCTCAATATATCGTGGTGAGCGCATCATTCCTTCTATTGGCTGCAGCCTTCTGACACCATCAACTGACTTTTTGTGTTTGTTTTAAGTACAGGATTACGAGTAAGATAGAAAACATGCTTTGTTTCAATTCATTTGCACAAGGCTGTACTCTGCTGAAAATCTGGGCAAATATATAGAATTTAACTTACCAATAATAATAATAATGGCAGCTATCCTCTGCTACTCTTGCTCATTCTGATATAGAGATCGGGAAAGAGGTTTCCCTGGTTTTTTTCCAAGCATTTGGAAACCGACACAGGGTTTTAAAAAGTCCTTTCCACTCTGCTTTACGGCATTCCTAAAGCGAGTGACACGGGTCAGTCAAAGAGAACTTGCTCACTGGAACACCAATAATTCCCTTTGCCAGCATATAGCCTGGTCAGCTTAGTTTAAATAATCTCTGCAACCTTTTCATGCCAAACCCTCATCTTATCTGCAACACACAAGAAAGAAAGTACATTACCCAGTTAACCCATCACCTCTAGAACTTGACTGTGTTACTTACCTGTCTTGGAGTACCTGTGCAAATTATAAGAACAAGAGAATAATCATAAGAACCTTGAAGTGCAAATGTCACTCCTGTAGCTGGTTGACTTTGGCTTCGGTTATGACTGCAACTAGTTATAAGTAAATTATAACTATGATTTTTGAATCTTGTTTTATTTTGCTCCTCTATTTGAAGGTTTTGTTTAATATTGCCCAGGTTCAATATCCCACAGATGTATTGCAACCAAAAATGAGGGGCTTTGTGAGAGCGGTATTGAATTTCCTTTGTGTACAATTTCAAAAGTTTAAATTACATTAGAGAGGAAAGGAAAAGGGGGGAAAGAAAGGAGCTTACTCATGGTCTGTGCTCTGCTGCTGCAGCAAAAAAACCCACACGGCTGAATGACGCAGATATAGATGGAATAAATTGCAAGTCGAAGGGGGAGACTTCAGGAGGGGCAGGAGATTTCTCCTTAGAACGGCTAAGGCTGATTCTGAAGAGCCCTCCAGAAGTCATTGATTTTTGCCTAATGGCATCTGCTCCCTGCTGGCCCAACGGATAATGGAGCTGGCTGGTGATTTGCGGGGGCCTGAAGACTAAACCAAGACAAGGCTCTCCTGCAAGGCCAGGTTGTAACTCCCCACCTAGGAAAAGATTGGCTGTTGTTGTTGTTGTTGTTTTCTATCCCACCCTTCATCCAAAGATGACAGGGCTGCTTACCATTATTATTATTATTATTATTA